AATTTCAAAAATAAAAATTACAAGTTGTCATTCTATTTTTCTTAAGTTCTATAAATTCTCCAACTATTCTCTGGTTTCACATTAGCAAATTATTCCCAACTAAACTTTTTTTGCCAAAATGTCTCCCTGGATATATCATATACTATCCACAAAGCGAAAGAGATGACAAATTCACCCTTTGCACACATTAAAAACAAAATCGAACTTTCTGAAATATCAACTTTTCTTTCATGTGGCTATTAAACAAGGCTATACACATTACTTTTTCTAGACTATAGGATTTATCACATGTTGGGCTAGTTAGGTGCAGAGATATGACCCAAGAGATTATTGAACTCCCTATGATAGTGAGGTTTAATGGCACCATAAAACTAATGGCAACTTTCATGTGTTTCAAAAGAATTACCTATATAGATTCTCAAAACATTTAATAAGAACAATTAGATTGATTTCTTTCCGGAGAAGGACTGATGTTAACAGCTACTTAGAGATTTGACAATACATATATTCTCTTTTTTTATTATTCTAGAGAGAGTGTGCACACAAGCAGCTTGGGACAGGGAAGGAGGGGTGGAGAGAGGAAACAGAGAGAGAAGGAGAGAGAATCTTAAGAAGGGTCCACACTCAGCACAGAGCCTGATGCAGTCTCAGTCCCACAACACTGAGATCATGACCTGAGCCCAATTCAAGAGTCAGATGCTTGACCAGCTGAACCACCCAGGAACCCTGAGAATATATATATTCTAATTCAATAAATATTTATTGAGCCAAGCACTTGAGATACTCATTGACAAAACAAAAAGATCCCCACCTTCAAAGAGTTCATAGACATATGATAAACAATGGGTACATTACATAGTAAATTATATTGTATATAGTAAGATAGTAGGGAGGTAAAAGGGTAGAGCAAGATAAGAATAGGAAAGGCTGAGGCAAAATGTGAAAGAGGTTACCATATGACCCCCCAATTCCATTGTTAGATATATACCCAAAAGAATTAAAAATATATATCCACACAAAATATATATATATCCACACAAAAACCTGTGCATGAATATTCATGGCAGCGTCATTCATAACAATTAAAAATGTAATCAACCCCAAATAACCATCAACGGATGAAGAGATAAACACACATGCTAAATCCTTCCAATAGGATATTATTTGGTGATAAAATGGAACGGAGTACTGGTACATGCTACAATATGGATGATGCTTGAAGACATTATAGTTAGTAAAATAAGCCTAGACACAAAAGGACAAATATTGTATGATTCCATTTATGTGAGGCACCTGGAATAGGTAAATTCAAAGAGACAGAAAGTAGACTAGGAGTCACAGAGGGGAAGTGGGGAAAGTGATTATCTAAAGAGTACAGACTTTCTGTCTGGGATGATGAAAAATCTGAAAATGGATAGTGGTGATGGCTGCACAACATTGTAAATATGATTAATGCCACTGAATTTTATACTTAAAATGGTTAAGATGGCAAGTTTTATGTTATATGTATTTTACCACAATTTATTTAGAAAGGCACTTAGGAAGTTACTATTTACCTACAAAGTAGTGATCTAAGCTCACAATCCCCTTAGCTCTCTCCCCATACCACACTGCCCAGAAGCCAGCAGAAATCAGACACCTCTGCTCAGTGATTTCCGTGCTAATCAAACCTGACATTGTTCATGCACCTTAATGAATAATCTGAGTGGAAACAAACTCCATCACTCAACATTCTGAAATTTAAGAAGATGCAAAGTATAGGAATTGCTGGTGGATCCAGGTCATGTAAACGGAGAACCCAGAGAGAAGTTTCTGCTATTAAGATTCCCACAGCAGCCCTGGGTTTTTGCCTGTCTTACTGCTCAGTTGTTGAGCTCATCACTCAATTTCTTGGAGCTCCTCCAGTATCCTTATAATTAACATTTCCTTCTTTGCTTAAGCGAGCCAGAGATGGTTTCTGTTCCTCACAAACAAAAGAACCTTACTTCTAATATAATATAGACTTTTGATTCCTAAGCTTTATCCATGTGGGAAAATGATATGCAAGTATCTTTTGCTTTCCAAATCATTTGGGCTTTTGAGATCAGATCATAAGAATAAGAATAGCAAAGGATACCGATAGATTCTTTTCAAGAGGATCCAAGACAATTCAATACAAGGTTTGTAAATAATTTAACTAAATGTGAGTTGGAACATGAATTGGAGATCACTTTAGGCTCAGAAATGTGTACAAAAACAGGTCTCCTCCCCACCCCACTATTGGAAAGTAGAGCATTCCTATGAAAGCTTTTGCAAGCCAAAATGGCAGAAAACAAAGAAGCAATTACCATGACATAAAAGCAAAAATTCTCTTCGGATTTCTTTCAATTAATGAAAATTAGGTATTAATGTAGGTCGTTTGTAAAGCAAAATGGCATAAAGTAAACTTTCAAATAGCAGGAAAAACCTGCAATACACTTTGATTTGCCAGTAGAAAAGTCAATCAACGACTTTATGGTCCAGTTTTATTTTTTTGTTTCTGTCGGTTCTGTTTGTGCTCTATTTAGCTCTGATAATCCATGTAATTCCCTACATAATTTGATGAATCCTCTTTTCAATAACATGTGGAGAGTAGCAGTGTCTGCCTTTAGTGATTGTTTCAAAATTAGTCACTACCACAAGGTCTTAGAGGGCTAGATATCCAGGAAATTACTTAATTAAAAACTTCAGTTTTCTCTAGGACTCTGTTGAGGAATTGTTTTGGGTAACTAATATATAATAAAAGTCTAGCATTTTGTAATTTTCACAAAGAAATTTTTATGAGGATATTTTAATAGGAGATCAAACATCTTACTAATAGAATCTCAATAACACATTTGAATTCTAAGAATTTAGACATGCATTCAGAGTATGCTTTGCTCACTTCCTAAGCCTTTCCCCGCATTCATGGTTATCTATAAATGCATCAAAAAAAAAGAGGGCTTCATACCTACCAGAAAGGTATTCTATACCAAGTGTGAATGTGTGTGTGTGTATGTGTATTGAACAGTCATAGGCAGTATGAAGCAAAAAAATAAAAAACAAAAAACAAAACTATTTTTTTTTTGCATCCCAAGAAATTTAGAACTATGTTAGATAAAAAGTTGTCCTTATTGCCTAAATTTCCAGGGATCTGTAAGACTCTAATTAGGTTCATGATTCCTGAAGAAAAACTATGAAACAGTGGGGACAAGGAAAAATAAGGGGAAAGGAGTAAATATATAATATCCTAAGAAGCTGGAAGCATTGTATAAATTCCCCCAAATAATTCCCAAGTTTCTTCTTTATAACATGCCCTCATTATCTGGGGTCTCAGTAAATTCAGTGTATGTAACAAAGATTGAAGGCAGTCTAAACAACTCAGAGGATCTGAGCCAAACTTAAACTTCTCATATTTGGAAATTAGCATAAAATATCTTCTTAGATCATGTCTTCTATCTTTTCATATCTCAAAAATATCCAATTGTTTGCTTCCTTTTTTGGAGCTATCAAAACATCGACAGTAAAATTTCACCAAGCCTCTTTTTAAATGAAGAAAAAAAAACCATCAAAAATATATATCAAGGGGCACCTGGGTGGCTCAGTCAGTTAAGCATCCAACTCTTGATTTCAGCTCAGGCCATGATCCCAGGGTTGTGGGACTGAGCCCCGCGTCTGGCTCCACGCTCAGTGCGGAGCCTGCTTAAGATTCTCTCTCTCCGGCAGCCCCTCTCCCCCACCCGTGCCCTCTCTCTCTCTTTCCCTCTAAAATAAAAAAATAATATATGCTCAAATTATGGGTACAGATTTGAGACAAATATCCATCCTAATGATATTTCAAAGTTCAGCTTAAATACGACCTCCTCCTCGAAGCGCCCCCCCCCCCACCGAGATCATACCAGCAAGAAGCAACAGAATCTTCTTCTGACTTCTTTACAATACTGTTTTTAATCATCTTTATGACATTTGAAAAGAATTGCCTTATGTTGTGGTTATTCAATATCAGTCTCACCTCCATCACTAAATAGTTACTACGCTGACTTCACAAACATTTATTAAACAGGAACTGTGTGAGGTGCTAAGCATACAAAGATTAAAATGACAGTTCTTTACCCTGTGGCATTTATAGCACTGAGAGCAAAGAAGGTGTCAAATACATATACTCTCTCATAGGTCTTAGCCAGCTTCTCAAAGGAATCCACAAACTACACAAGATCCAGCATATCTTCACACTGTATCCCAAGCACATAGTCAGGGCTCATTAAATATTTGTTGAGTGAATTAATGATTCCATCTGCAGCATGCTCCAGCATAAACCACCTCACAAGGAAAGTTACATGGACTTGATGTGTGATGTAGACACATTTTCAATTTTATGATTAAACTTTTTTGTAAATAGCCTCATAATTTAATTTATTCCTATTCAGGGTTGGATTTCTGTGGGTGTGTGTTAGTATAAACTATAAAATAGCCATTGTTAACCAATGAGTGATTTGAATTTTGAGAGAGCTAATCATCCATTTCAAAGATACTTAAGAAAAATATTTCAATCATACCTACACAAAAAGAAATCCTTCACAAACTATCGCCTATAGAAGCTGACTCAGGAAATAAAAGTTTCATTGTGACTACTAAGATTATGAACATGAACAAGGCGGCCATGCTAAAGTGCTTACTTCTTACATGTATAAACAGACTTCTAAAATAAAATGAACTATTTATTTACTGTATAAGTTAAGTCAATCATTCATAACTGCTCAGCATTACTGGTCAAACATTTTCCCATAATACATTTTAAAATACCAATAATAGCTAGGAACAAGTTGGGTTTACAGTAAACATAAGACCATCTACTTCAGTAGCATGCAGTTTCCTCGTCTGTAGTTTTCTTGCAGACCTTGACCAGTACAATGCTTTATTTATGCTTTTTAAGATAAATACTGTCGACTAACAGTAATAAGAAACTGAAGACTCTTTCAAAACATCACTTTCACTTTGGCTAGCTTTCCCAACTGTATCAGTAATAGATGTTTAATTACAGAAACATATATAGAACCTGGGAAACATAGGAGATACAAAAATGAAAATGGAAATCACCTATCCATTCACCATGTGGTGCCATAACTGCTAATATACTGTTCTATTTTCTGTCACTATTTCCCATGTATGTTGTTTTGTATTTTTCAAGTAGAATTATGGTTTTCTGAAGGCATATATTGAAAACTTTCCAGTCTAAATCTGCATGGGAGTGGAAAGATAACCACAAAAAAAAAAAATAAAAAAAGGCATCAATACATTTGAAAAGCAGAGTTTTATCCATTGAATGAATGAATGAATGAATGATCATTAAAGTTACACTTCTCATTATAATCTGATGATCGGTTACCAAGATCCGGTGTTAAAAAAAAAAGAGTAAAATTCATTCTGTTACTATGCCATAAATTTGTCATAGAAGTCCACTGTTACTTCTTCTTCTATATTTGTATACGAAGACACACCCTCTGCCTGGAATTTCAGTTTTAAATTATGAGTCTATAGTATTCTGTCTATATTCTGTAAGTTACCCTTGTACCATCTGTACAAGGACAGTTCCAAGGGGACAATGTGATTATGAAATGTGTTACCTATGCAAAAAATAAAATAAAATAAAATGAAATAAAATAAGCTTCTGTTAAATCTAGAAAAAGATCAAGCAGTTGCCTGTGAGTTTCAGTCTATCAGAGCCAAGCCAGGCATTTGAGGAGGGATGGTTGTTTACCTGACTGAGCTATCCACAAGAGAGGGTCTAAAAGCTAAAAGAGAAGTCATTTATGGAATGACTTCTAAGTTTAAGACACAGTCCACTTTAGCTTAAAATAAACTTTATGTTCACCACTTGAGAAACTCTCTTTGTACCTGAGCAGATTTCAAGTTCCATAACATGACACTACTAACCCTTAGATTTTCCAAAACAGCTAAGTTTTCAAGATTATACTGTCTTCTTCCTCTCCACTGAACATACATGCAAATATTCAATGGATTTTTAGATGTTTTTTTATCAAAATAGCATATGCCTCAACCAAAACAAAGCTAAGTTTATACAGCTAGTTACAGCAGGAAATACTGGCTGTTAACTTGGAAGGGTTCTGTTGGAAAGACTAAAGATAATCTTCAAATTATTCTAAAATAGAAGTTGACTGTAACCATGCCTTGCTTCATCTACTTGACTCTTTCTTCACTGATCAGACAGTCCTAGTAAGGGAAAGAATCTTAAAACTGTAATAAGAGTAGCATAATTCAATGACAGAAGAAAAGATAATAATAAACCAAATCTGCAAATATTTAAATACTAAAAACATTAAACAGAAAAAAAGATCAGGAAGGGAAAGTCAAGGGACTATAATTGGGAACAATAAAAGGTATGCATTTATAGTTTTATTCATCCGAGGAATTAAGGTAGAATTATAAACTGTGTGACACGCCATCACCCTACCTAACGTCCATCATTGAACATGGAAACAAAGGTACTGAAAAGTTCACTGAATTGGCCAAAAATCAAGCAGCAAGTAAAGATAAGGGCCCCAGTTTTTTGTCACTCTGGTTAAGAGATTATTATGATGCTCTGTAGTCACAGCATCAATGAGTGTCATCTGATAGTTTGCTGAGACTTTAGTGGGTGTTGACTCTTGGTAGATCCTGCAAAGAAACCTCAAGCCAAAAGCAGCAATCACTTAGACATATATAGACACACACACACACACACACACACACACACACACACACACTCATATGCACATGTGTCATTTACTAACCTTTCAACCATATGGAGAATAGACAATGAAGGAGTTAAATACCTTTTTACTGATTCTATCCCACCCACCCTGGAAGTCCTGCTATGCTCATTCCCACTGGAAGGTACCGAATCACTGGTCAAGGTGATATTGACCTTGATATCATATTCAAGGTGATATCATATTCAGAAATATGAAGTGTCAGATGTGGCAATAACCAGGGAAGTAAGGCTCAGGATAAAGAAAATAGAAAAGGGAAGAAGGAACTATTACCACTGCATTTAAAATTGTACAGCAGGTCCCAAAATTCCCTCCCTTCCTTTAAAAAAAAAAAAAAAAAAAAAACTATAACCCTAAAATGTACCATTAGCCAGAAATTTGTTTATTTAAAATATATTCACCATCTTCATTCTACAGGATTTAAAGCAGTTTTCCTTAAATCAATATAAGTGTTTCTTAAATAGATGTTTAGATGAAAAATTAAGTTACAAAATACAAACTGGCCCCTTTTGCACCTACACAAGCTGGCAGAAAAATACCTCAGTCAGCAACAATTTGGGATTCAGAAACATCAGGTACGTACTGGTTAAAGGATAACTGGAGAAAAAAGAGGAAATGCAAATCTTTGCAACTGGGGCATTCTAATTTCTCACACTGAGAAATCAAACTTGGAAGCTCAGTCACAGAGCCTAAGAAAATTCCTCCCACATTTCCAGTAGGAAGTATCTCTAAGAGGAGCCTGCTAAACTCTTCGAGAATGAAACTGATCGGTTTTTTAACAGAAAAATTCATTACCTTATTGCAAAACTTCCCCAAAGCAAAATGATAATAATGCATATCCTCCAAAACTTCCTTACACACTAAATGTTAAAATCAGACAAAATTTGTTTGCAGATGACTATCTTTACCAAGAATTACCTTGAAATGCTTATCCACTAAATTCTCATTAACTACTCTCTTAAGCTGAATTTGAAAAGCCATCATGCTATCGAAAGTGTCAAATGGATAAAGAGCTAAAACAGAAATCAGAAACTTTAAGCCAAATTTTTAGCTCCACAGGTTAGAGAAAAAGAATATCCAATCAAAGCACCAAGCTTCACCAAGGGCAGCTTTTCTGAAGATCCTTCTTCACCTCAGAATCGAGCTACACAGAGGTCTTGTCATATTAACCTCAACAAGACTCAATTTGTTAACAGAACAATAATACTACACATGTTCTGTAGAAACGCAACTTTCAAAACACCAGCAAGAAATTTGGATACAAATAAATATTTTCACAAACATACACTACATTAAAGGTCGAGAGTTTTCTTTTTCTCAAGGCTTAAAGATTATGATATGTCGCCAAAGAAACACACACTCGGCTGGGAATCTGGAGACGGGGTTACAGTTCCAGCTTTTGGCATTAATATCCTCTGTTTCTTAGGTAAGTCACCTCATTTCTCTTCCCCTGAGTTCCCTGATCTCTATAATGAGCAGGACAGAGTCCACAACTGCTGAAGCAGCAGCTTCCTGATTTACCACCTATAACTCTTTATGTGTATAGATACATAAACACATACCTTTGCTGAATGAGACACTACAAACACATGGCCTTTTGTTTGTCTAGGCTTTATACTCTATTCCTAGTCCTTTTTTTTTTTTTTTTTTTTAATCATTCTGTCTACCAGTGTTAACTATTGTTCACAGGAACCAAGGTAGTGCTAATTACAATAGCTGACACATAAGTGCTTACTATGTGCCAGGTACTGTGCTAAGCACTTTACATATATTAACTCACTTCTTCCTCACCAAAGCCCTGTGAGGTAGAAACCATCATTCTTCCCAACTTTAGACATGAGGAAACTGAGATACAGAGCAATTTTGTAACTTGCCCATCCCACAGTCATAAGATTCACACATGGAGAAGCCAGGATTTGACCCTAAGCATTTTGGCCCTGGAGCCCTTCCTGCTTACCCACCACCCAGAGAGTGAGTCTATGGTGGGGAAAGGTGAAGTGCAACAGAGTTCATCTGCAAAATGGTGCTGGGGGCACAAAAATGTCCTTGAACTGTGAATTCTGTCAGGAACAAATGGTAGCTCATGAGTTACAAGCCCAACATACACACTGGCCACTGACATTTTTTCTTACCCATTTCAGTTTCACGATTAACATTGACCTTAAAGGGAATCAATTATATCTACCTCCCTTCCTTCAACTACGGGGGAGATGCACAATTAACACAAACTGTGTAAGTACTGGTGACTTCCACGACCTCGGTCGAGTAGGCACCCACTCCGTTATAATATGGCTCACAGTCACGGTCCAAGGACACTGCATGTTAAGTCATGTGCCCTAAAACCTAACAGTGACCGGCCAGGAGTGGAAACACCAGTTCTGCAGCCTGAAATCCTAAAGAGTGGGCAGTCTGAAGTACTGAGACCGCAAGGTAATAAAAATTTAAAAAAAAAAAAAAATACGTGCGCATGAAAACACATTGCCGCGTGCATATTTAAACTGCTAACTGGTATTCACAATCAGGACAGAGAGAAAATACTAGTCATCAAGGAAGTCCTATTTAACCAACTAGCACATGTTATGTTTATATAGCTATTTCCCCCATTCATAAGTCAGCTCGAATCTCAAGAGCCCTGCACTTGGCTGAGTTCCAGAAGAAGTTCAGGATTTCAGTGGGCCAAGGCCCGGGACAGGGGAAAAGCAGGTCTGCGTTCTAGAACCAGGAGGCCCTCAGAGACGTCTAAGGGTCACAGAGCTGCAGTCATCATCCCTGGGCTACCCCTGACGGCAAGTCCCGGTTTGGCAAAGCCGAAAGGAAATTACTTCAGAGAAGACGAGACGGTGAGCAACCCCCGCAGGGGCAAAGCCACACTTTGGCTCACCACGTCGCCTGAGTTTCATGTCCAAGGCCACGGACTTTTATCGACTGCCCTGAGAGACAGGGGTTTGGGGGTGGTCGCTCGCCAAGACCGGGAGAGGTGCAGTATTGTTCTACCTTTTCGGGAACACAAACACGTTTAACGAAAACAACCCTTGGAGAAGCTAGCGAAGACTTCTTCGCAGGGCCTGTCTCGGGGCTTTTGAATCACTTCCTCCTTTTTTGATGCGTCTCTGAGCTTGAGATTACGAAGTTGCTGAGAAAGTCTTGCCTCTCCGGGCAAGCTTCCTGCGAGCGAGCCGAGCGCCCGGCGCTGTCCGCGGGCGCACAGACCCAGCCGCGCGGCCCGGCCACCCCCCGGGCGGGAGCAGGGGGACGCGGCGGCGCGAGCAGGGGCGGGGATAGTTCAGGAGAGAGAGCGCGGGCGCTGCGCAGCCCGCGTCCCCGGCTTACCCCAGGGTGCTGATGAAGCCGTTGACCGAGCCCTCCGCGTACAGGGACACGATGTCCCCTATGTAGAGGAAGCTGGACATTTTATCAGACATGCTGCTTCATGCTCCAAAGTAGACGTCCCTCCTCTTCCCTGCGCCCTCGCCGCCCTCTCCGGGGAGCCGCCGCGGCAGAGGCGAAACGGAGCGCACAGCTGCAGCGCCGACAGCGGCAGCGAAGGGCACGGCCTGAGTGACCGAGTGTCGTGGCTCAGCCCTGCCCCCGCGCCGGGGAAGCCGGCCCGGAGCGAAGCCGCTGCGGCGGACGCCCCGCGACGTGCGCAGCCCTGGGGGTCGGAGGGGCCCGAGAGCCGCAGCCGCCGCTACGCCGGCAGGTTTCCTGTTCCTTTCAGAACTTTTCTCTCCAACACCTCTGCTCCTCCTCCCGCCTCCTCCGCTCTCCCGCTCCGGGTCCCCTCCTCGTTCTGCGCCCCACCGCGGCGGTCCCCGCCGCCCTGCAGGAGCTGGTGGTGGCAGAGCCCCTCGGTCCCCTTGGGGGAATTTTTGGACCAGGTGGCGATGCCCATTGGGCTGAGGGGAGGAGAGGAGCCCGGGGAAAGGAGGTGGAAGGCCAATCAGCGAGCTGCGGCCGGGGGCGGAGCTGGAACGGGGCGGGGCGACTCTGGGGAGGCCGGGCCACCCGGGAAGCTGCGCGCTGCGGTGAGCCTCTGGCGCTAGAGGGGCGGCGGGGGCCCCCAGAGCGAGGAAAAGGGAGGTTTATAGCCGCCCTGGAGCTTATGGGCCTGGGGTGCGACAGTCCCCTCCCGGGAAAGTGCATGGTGGTGGGGCCAAGACGTTTTCCCTGGGCTTTTAAGGGAGCAGGGAGGGTGAGAATTGGCCTGACCGGCGCGGGGGTCGCGCGCGGTGGAGTGAGCCTGCTAAACGCCAGGAGACGAAAAGGTGGAGCCGGGGTCGGGTCGGTGGGGTGGGGGAGGGTAATTTGCCGACGTAGGGAGAAGAAGGTGAAGTGGGGGGTGGAGGGTGTGGAATAGAAATAGAAAATAAATAAATAATAAAGAAAATAAAGAGAGGAAAGAGAAGGAGAAGGAAGGAAGGAAGCAGGGAAGGAGGAAAGGGAAGGATGGAGGGAGGGAAGGGAGGCTCTGTCTCTATTTGGAGTATGTAGTTTGGGTTTTTGTCTCAGGTATACGGAGTTAGTGAAACCTGACCTGTCAGCTGATGTCCAGGTGGGTGCGAACTTCAATGGACGTAAACATCACTTGAGGAGCCAGCAGTTTTTGTGGCCAACCTGTGGAGGTGAACCTTCTCTTAAGTCTCCAAGCCACGCCTCCTGCACTTCCTTAACCCCAACCCAAGGTTTAACCTTCCACCTCGGGAGCCCACCGTCACCATCTCCCAGACGACGTCTGCTGACCCTTGAAGCTCCAGCGGTGACAAATGAAAGTGGTGTCAGGACGCCTTTCCACTCCTCTGTTGTGTTTGTACCCCTCATCATATCATTTTAGAAGCCTTTTGCTCTATTTTTCTGGGAGACCTGGAGAAGGCAAACTCGTTTAGGACACTAGCAACCCAATCAAAGAATTGCGACCCGAGGAATCTTCACAGAGCCGGGTTTACAGAAAGGCAGAGGAGCTCAGGACATGCAGAGTGGTGTATTTCAAACTGTGCAACTGACCAAAGCTTAAATTATAGGTCAGAGATGTCTTACAATTCATAGATGGTTTTGGTTGAGACTTACGGTCATACAATGGAATATGAAAGAAAAATAAGCTTAATGTTCAAATATGTGTGTTTAGAAAGCCTGCAGGAAAGAAGACAATAGAGTGTTAGACCCAGAATCCAGGAAATGCTAGCACAAGGCCTGTAAGTGTTGAGATAAACTGGACCCAGTCATTGTCCTACCATGCAGCTGACAGATCTCTTTATGTCTGCGTTCTCCTTTGGAAAAGGGTACTTAGCAACTTAGAAATGCCTCCTATATGATAGAAATCCTCCTCTGTCTACACAAATGATGTTACTGTTTGGGGCCTCCAAGGCATTAAACATGAACTATTAAAAGAAACAGAGGTTTCTGTTTATCCAGGGGATTTGTATATGACAACCTATCTATCACTCTCTATGTTGCACAGCCCTCTGCCATACATTTAATGGATGTTCAATTATTGGTCAAAGTCACAAATGTTTTTCCTTGGATTTTGGAACCTTCAAACACTCCTAGTGCAAATGTAAAATGGCACAACACTTTGAAAAACAGTTTAGGACTTCCTCAAAAAGTTGAACACAGAGTTTCTATTTAACCCAACATTTTCATCTCTAAGTATATATCCAAGAGAAATGAAAACTTATATGTACACAAAACCTTTACCCAAATACTCATAGTGGTTTTATTCATAAAACCCCAAAGAGGAAATTTCCCAAATGACCGTCAACCGATGAGTAGATAAACACAAGGGAACATTATTTGGCCATGAAAAGGAATGAAGTAGTGATTCATGCTACAACATAAATGAAACTTAAGAAGATTTTGCTAAGTGAAAAAAACCAGACATTGGGATCATATATTATTCTGTTTATACAAAATGTCCAGAGTACACAAATCTGTGGAGATAAAAAGTAGGTTAGTGGTTACCTAGGGCTTGGAGTAGGTAAGTAAAGGGCACAGGATTTCTTTTTGGGGAGATGAAAATGTTCTAAAATAGATTGTGGTGATGGTTGCACAACTCTATGACTATTAAAACCTATTGAATTGTGCACTTTAAATGGGTGAGTTGTGGTATATGAATTATATCTCAATAAAGCTGTTACAAAAGTCAGTGGAAAAAAATGTCGCAGGTTGGGGGGGAACGGAGAGGAAAACCAGATAAGTTTAAAAGAGACTCACTGAAAAATCATTCTTCACACTTACACTTGTGTTCAGTGTTTCTTTTCTTTAACTTGACCTTGTCCTCTTGGTCCCACCAGACACCTACTTTGGGCAAGGGTATCCTCATATCTAACTGCCCGGACTGGAAAAAAGGTGTCAGCGTATGACTAAAAAGAATTCAGTGAAACCCCAGGTAGGGTAAAACACATTACTTAATTCCTTACTACCATCTGACTAACTATGCAAAGTAAAAAATGTCCAGCTTCAAATAGAAATCACCTTTTTCTTTTCTTTTGTTTAAAGTAAACTCTACCCCCAATGTGGGACTGGAACTCCCCACCAGAGATCAGGAGTTGCATGCTGTACTGACTGAGCCAGCGAGGCACCCATAGAAATCACCTTTTTCATCAAATGGCTTCACCAACCTCTTTAGAATCCAGGTACCAAGTCTTATTCCTTTCTCTACCTCTTTCTTCCTCTTCCATTATCTCAAATACATTTTCTTTTTGTCTTGCCCCCATCCTTGCTCACCATCCTCATGGCAAGCCAGCACTCTCTCTTTACAAAGTTGATCTGATCAAAACTTTTCACACTTACAATGACACCCCATTGTCTACATAAAGATTTTCAAAGACCCTAACCCTACTGGAGTGAATATTAGATGTCATGAACATCAGTCCATGTAAATGGATCTCCTGTGCTGAGAATACGAGACACTTCACCATGTCCTAGCATTCTGGGTAGTGTATGATCTGGTCTCCTTTGTTTCTACTCTTCCACTCCTGATGTCCTCATGGAAAGCTAGATTCCCCACATACAAGCTGACACTTTCAGTTCCATGTCTTTGAGTGTGATGTTCCCCTCTGTCAGAAATTCCTCTTCCTCCTTCCCTTCTCCCAGCTCTGCCTGTTCAAGCTCTACCTCCCCAGTGAAACTTCCCAGATACTGCCAAGGTCAAGTTCTTATAGCCAGGCCACCCTGCCCGTAACATTTGTGGGCCTCCGGGGCAAGAGTAATTGGAGACCCTTGCAACATAGTCTAAACATTAAAAGTTGCAATTTAAGGTAATAAACTGTTACAGGTGGTACAGGGAGAATTGGCCCACATTTCCAAGTCTTCCCACCGATAGTCCCTGCAGGTAGTCATTCCTTGGCCACTCCTTGGGCCACCCCGGCACACCCCAGATGTGCAGTCTACACTTGGGAAGATCGATAAGGGCTGGGATGTCAGATACCCAGAACATATTCTAAAAGTGGGAGGAATCTCAGGCTGCTGGTGGGCATGTCTCTTTGGTCCAGAATAGGGCCTTCTAGAACTCAGAGCTCAGGGCAGGAGTCTAAGGTCACATCCTTTTTAAGGTACCATTCAACACTTTCCACCTTGCCTTCTTGTTATTTCCATACACTTGAGCCTTACCAAACTAGAAGCATCTTGAGAATGAGATCAGTGTCTAATTCATGCTTTAGCCTTTATGGGGCTTAGCAGTCCTCATTTAGAGCTTCAATAAATAGTAGATACATAAATGTAGCAATAAATAATTGATGTGGAATTTTTGTAATGCTTAAGTATTTGTATTACCCCTGATAGGATCAATAGTAGACGTCACAAACATCAATTCAGCCAAATGGCATTCAAAGAGTCTCCTGTGCTAAGACTGTGAATCACTTTAGCAAAGGCCCAGTCATCACTGCCCTAAAAAATCTATAGGAGAGGTCATAAAGAGAGCATAGTATAATATTTAAAATGTTTACTCGCAAAAGATTGATTGTATTAAAAAATAAGTGTCCAGTATAATGTTCTTCCATCAGAGATCTTTTCAGGGTGATTTATATTCACTCTTCACTTGGATATCCTCAGTTCAAGACTAGAAGTGAAAGGGATTATTATCCATGATCCATCAACTGAGTCTTTCATGAATAGCTTTCTTCATTCCCCTGTCTTGTACTAAATATAATTATTTTTAATTTTTCAAAATGTTTATTTATTTTTGAGAGGGATTGAGAGAGAAAGAGAGAGAGAGAGAGGCAGGGAGAGAGAGATGGAGACACAGAATCTGAAGCAGGCTCTAGGCTCAGAGCTGTCAGCAAAGAGCTCCATGCAGGGCTCAAACTCACAGATTCCAAGATCATGACCTGAGCCAAAGTTGGACACTTAACCTACTGAGCCACTCAGGCGCCCCTAAATATAATTTTTAATATGTAACCGTTTATTGAGCAGTCGCCTCAATGAGGTACAAATAAAATATTGGTTTTTAAATAACTCCCTTGCAACAATCAAATCTATATGTTCTATTCCTTAATGATATTTCAAGGACAGTCCTTGGATTTAGTTATTTTCAGTTATTAAACATTACACACATACCCCACTCCAGATCAGTTTAAAATGTTGGTCTCATCTCTTCCAGACTTCCTTAGATAAATGAGGCAGCCATTAATTCCTTTACTCCTGTCCGTGCATTGGAGCTCCTTCCCTGTTGGGATAGGGAAGCAGGATCAGGATGAAATGGGCAAACATATCATTCTGACCTGGGTGTGTGATCTCAGATCCTCTTGACTATTGTTTGTCTGGTCAACACTGACTGGTTGCACTTAGGTAGGTGTCAAATGTTAGCTCTCTGTTGGGCACATGAGTGATGTTTTTAGTAGCTCTGAAGGATTTCTGCAGTGTACACTTCTTTGAAGTGGGAGTGCTGTCCCTGGCCTGACTTCTTGCAAACCCCCTTAGCTCCATCACTGACAGTATACCCAAAGGCAGACCACACTCTTGGGTGGAATTCTAGCAAGTGTGGCCTCCTTTTGACCAGGGGAGATTCAGGCAGGGTCTGCCTTATGGTTGTACGAGCTGTGCTGTAGCACGTTGTCCAGTCCTTAGAAGGGTCTTGGTTTGATGCTTGGTTTGATGTTTTGCTGGCACGATCTTGAAATTCTTATTTTTGAACAAGAGGTTCCACATTTTCTTTGGCACTGGGCCCTGCCAGCCCCAGACTCAGGCAGGCATCCTTACTGCACCAGAGTGGCCATTTAAGATGCTCCACTGCCCCCCACCATCCCATCAATTTTTCCCATTTCTCTCCAATCCCCTTTCCTTTTTCAGACAGATCAACAAGTCTGACATACCAAGTACCAAGCCGCCTCCAATTAGGAGATTCAAGGTCAGAGCTCCTTGTCTCATGAGTACTACCACTCCTTACAGGTTCCCTTCCAAAATATCCTCCACAGAGACAAGAAAAAAGCTCTATGACCCCTCACTACCTCACTAAGCTGAAAATGGGCAACTCTTCCAGCTCACCATAATCAATTATATTTTCTATGGAGAATCTATGGATTTGTTCTCTAATAAATATAAATTAGGCATTTATACTTCCGGCTGGGAAATTTGGGGCTAAAAATGCTTGTGTACTTGAGATTTCCAGATATAATCTGGAAAACGATAGTGGATGGTATTGGGGAGAATATAGAAAGAGAATCTCATAACTATCCTCACCCACTGTTGTGAGCTAGATCCTGTGGTCACCATCCAAATATCCATCACCTTTCTCCCATGTCCAACAGCCTGAATTAACACCACACCCCAATTCCAAACATGGTTCCTGAGTAATCTAAACCAGTGTTTCTCAAACTTTAGTATGTATAACCATCCAGAGAGTTAAAACACAGATCCCTGGCCTCATCCCCAGAGATTCTGATTTAGCAGGTCTGGGGTGGTGCTTACTAGCATTTCTGAAAGGGGAACTGTGTGTAGCCACAGGTAGGAGACAAGGTTGAAACAAGCACTCACTAATGGGAGACCTTGCTGAGAAAATGTCTTATTTTTCTTTCTTTTTTTTTTCAACGTTTATTTATTTTTGAGAGAGAGAGAGGGGAACAGAGGATCTGAAGCAGGCTCCATGCTGACAGCAGAGAGCCCAACGTGGGGTTCAAACCCACGAACTGTGAGATCATGACCTGAGCCAAAGTCAGACACTCAACCAACTGAGCCACCCAGGAGCCCCTCATTTTTATTTCAAAAGAATCTCAAACACAGAAAAGTTACACGGAGAGTACACAACTTTGACCCCAAATCAGCATTTTTATAATTTGTCATGTCTGTTTATCATTGTCATGCTCTACACACACACACACACACACACACACACACACACACACACACAATTTATTTTCAGAATTATTTGAATGTAGGTTGAATACATCATACCCATGTACGTCTTAATAATTCATGTATTTCTAAGAACAAAGAGATTCTCTTACACACTAGTCCCCCCTTATACATTCCAAGACCCCCAGTGGATGCTTAAAGCCACAGATATTACCATACCCTATATATGCTATGTTTTTTCATATACATACATACATACATACCTATGATAAAGTTTAATTTATAAGTTAGGCACAGTGATGGGGCGCCTGGGTGGCGCAGTCGGTTAAGCGTCCGACTTCAGCCAGGTCACGATCTCGTGGTCCGTTGAGTTCGAGCCCCGCGTCAGGCTCTGGGCTGATGGCTCGGAGCCTGGAGCCTGCTTCCGATTCTGTGTCTCCGTCTCTCTCTGCCCCTCCCCTGTTCATGCTCTGTCTCTGTCTGTCCCAAAAATAAAATAAATAAATAAATAAAAATAAAATAAACTTAAGTTAGGCACAGTGAGACATGAACAATGACTAATAATAAAAGACCAATTATAATAACATATTGTAATAAATTTATGTGAATATGGCATCTTTCTCACAAAATACCTTATCATACCATACTTACACTTTTTCTTCTTGTGATGATGTGACATGACAAATGCCTATGTGATGAGATGAAGTGAGGTGAATGACATAGGCATAGTGACGTAGTGTCGGGCTACTGACCTTCTGATGATTTGTGAGGAAGACCATCTGCTTCTAAACTACAGTTGACCATGGGTAACTGAAATCATCATGGAAAATGAAACCAGGGATAAGGGGGGAACTACTGTATATTCAGAGTACAACAATCAAGTTCAGAAAATGTAACATTGATCTAAAACTTTAATCTTTTACCCATATTCCAATGTATCCATTGTCCAAACGGTGTTCTTTAAAACAGTTTGTTCCTCCGGCACAGAACCCCATTCAGGATCACATGTAGCATTTAGTTGTCAAATCTCCTTAGTCTCTTTTCATCTGTACCAATTCCTCAGCCATCCTTTGTCTTTAGTGACATTGCCATTTTTTAAGAATACAGGCCCTTTATTTGTAGGATATTCCTAAATTTGGATTTGTCTTGCATCTCTTCATAATTAGATGAAGTTAAGCATTTTCAGTCAGAATACTATATAAGTGATGATGTCTTCTTCCCCAGGTACCATCTGCCACCCTTGTGATGATATTAATTTTAACCACTGTCAAAGACAGTGTGTAGGATAGGAGTTTAGGAATAATCTCAAACCAGATCTCTTTTTAAGGTATGGTTCATAAGAAAC